CTAAGTACAAGACTAATAATTATAATTTTAAAAAACCGCATTCTTCACAGCTTAGGGGCTTAAACTTTTATATTCTTCCTTTATTCTGAATGTAGCCCTCAGGAAACAACTCTGTAATAATCACCTTGCCTACACTTCTTCAGTCACACATTACATTCTCTCTCCCACTTTCTTTCAGGTTAATATTAGTGTTTGTCAGCAGCAGACTTTTTTTCCAAGGCTCTGAGTCATTACAGTAACAGTTATGTTCTCAATAGAGTTCAGGGTAGGAAAAAACCCCAGCCCTTTGCCTACATGTATCTGACTGTTAGAGAACCAGAAGGCTACTCACTCCTTCTAAATGCCAAGTGTTCAATTACTTTCCTCTTGAGATTTTTTTTTTCAGTTGGTTTTCTTTTTTTAATTTGGGAAAAAGTCAAATGTGATGCAGTAGGTTACTAAAGCTCATGATGAGGAATTTTGGCTTCATATTTTTCCACAGTGTAACAGGTTTTTTCCAAGTGTTCCTTTAGCAGAGGTTGGTTGGTATTCCAGTCTAGCTCACAAAAGTTCAATCTCTGTCTAGTCCTATACAGATATCTGTCTGTGTTATAAAACCACTGCACCCATTATCCCAAAGAGGGATTTGTGCTGATAAGAGGTCCAGTCAATAGCAGAGGTTTTGCAAGTTTGGCTTCAGGCCTTGACAGAACACAGGAAAGCATTCAGAGAGCTAGACAGTACAGTTTCTGGTTCTGGCTACTGCCACCCTTCCCTTCCTGCCCCCTGAGGTGCTCTGCCGTTCTTTGGAAACCAAGTCAGAGCACACATTGCAATGCACTGTGCATTAGCACAGGAGCACAGTGAGCCTCAAGCGTATGTGAAGCCAGATCTGGGGATCATACTTAACTCAAAATAGATCTGTTTCACCTGCACATTTTTCTAGATGTGCAGGCTTCTCAACTGAACTGGAGGTAATCGATTTCCCTTTCTGTGGGTCAAGTTTTCTGGACTGTGGGTCAAATCTGAGCCCACACTACCGTCCTGAAGACTTTCCAATCAGGCAGGCAAGGATTTCCCCTCATGGTGATGAATGCCACAGAAGCATATAAATATATAGGCACTGTTACCTTTCTTGTTGCTAAGTACTCCCTTGTCAGAGAGAGCTCTTAGCAGCTGTCAGAACTGCTGCACTGTAATTTAAAGTGAACTGTAAATCCCTGAGATGGATGAAGGTATCAAGATGGATGATCTTGCAATGGTCAGTAGAGAGGTTGCTGGTGATTTCAATGACTACATTTGCCAGTCACGGTGCAAGATGACAATGCAGATTGAAAGGGTGATAGCAAAGGGAATCAGAAGGATACATCAAAGGCTAATGGACAGGTGCTATAAAATGTTGTCCAGCATGCAAGCTTGTATTTTTTTCAGTCTCCTCCTGAGCGGGAGATTCAGTGTCCTTAGGAAAAACAAAAAGTATTCCATATTGCACGTTAACAAGCAGGTACAATCCTTGGAGCAAGTGAGGTTCCTGTCTTCCATTTTTCCTTCTGCATCTCTGTGTTGCCAGCCTTTCTTCTTTTTTTCTGGTTTTCTGCTGAAAAAAAATCATCTGGGCTAAACAAGCAACTGGCCCCTGGTCCATAAGATAATGGATCCAATAATTATCAGAAGCCAGCTTGGAGGGACCTATGGTTCAGTAGTCACCATGGCAAATACAAGCTCTAAAAAATGCAAAGAGCAAGATGCTAACAACGCTCCAAAACGCAAAGAAAGGAGTTTGCAGCGTTCTTGCTGTCTGATTTTCCTTTAAGTTGTGTTTAGGAATGAAAATGTTTGTCATATCTCTGAAAACAGGAACACAGTTTGCATAAACCAGATCCACCACTAAGGTGGCACAGTGAGACACCTACTCAATCCAACCATACTTACTGTAATGCCAGTGCAGGAACAGCCATACCAGACTGTACCTGGAGTTCATATGGCTCACCCTTATCTTTGATACTGCCTGGGTGCTTTGAAGAAGAATATAAAAACTCTTCAGAGTGGGAAGCCATGAAGTAATGTGCTCACAGGGATTCTTACTTTCTAATCTTCTCCAAGAAAACTGTACTCAGATGGTTAATTTATCTTCTTGGGTTTCCTCCTAAAAGAAAAAAAAATTCCTATGATATTTGATACAGAGTTTTCTGATATTGAACAGAAAATCTTATCTTTCAGAACCCATGGTTCTGAACACCAGTAACATTTTGTGGCAGTGGATTTCAGAGGGCATTTATATCTGATTTTTTGAGCAGAATATTTGCAAAAATGGAAAGACTAAGTCTGATTGCTTCCTGATACTTGTTTTGCCAGAACTTCTGATTTTAAATTTATCAAAGGATCACTTTATCACTGCCTTCTTTAATTTTCGATTCACTTCCAAAATCAGGCTTTGGGGGACTACTCTAAGAAACTTCTGGAAAAAGCAGGGTCCTGATCCTCTTGTGAGGGATGTCCAAGTAACTTAATAGCATGGCCCTTGTTAGCCATTCAATTCAGTTCATTCCAAACAATGTGCAGCTCCAGTAATGCTAAACTAGATGCACTGGAAGCCACCAAGAGATAGTTGTACTAATTTCAGTTTATTAGCCATCCAAGCTCACTTTTAAATTCAGGAAAGGCAAATTAAAATTGAAAAGATCTTGGTAGAAACATATTCTGCTTTCACGGTCTGTGGATATGCATGTTTAAGCTATCATGCCATGACATTGTGCTATTTGATTTATTTTTTTTACTGATGCTTTGACTGAGTAGTTTGTTGCAATGTACTGCTAAATGAAGGAAAAATCAGAAACTGCATCAGACAACCACTCTGTATTTCATTTTAGAAAATAGCTGGCAATTATAATTACTCACCATGTTTCTGGCTCAGAATAAAAGTGCCATAGCACAAAAACCACACTGAACATTCATCGTGATTAGAAAATGCTCCATACCTTGGAGTGCAGTGGAGACATAAGAATAATTTTAAATGCAAATTAAATTGTGGGGGTAGCAAAGAGAACAGATAAAAGACAGTAAAACAAAGCCTTTCACTTTCCTCAAATTAGCAGGCTAATGTGGTATAAAAAAAAGCAGTTCTACTCAGATCTGTGCTAAGAGCTTTCATTTCATCATAATATAAGCAGATCCGTCACCTTTCTCTATTCAGTACTCTTGATTTCGAGGTTGAAGTGAAAATTAGAAGCTGTTCATTCTGGCTCACAGACTGGGTTGCATTTGCTTAGTCTTATTCCATGACAGTGGGATGGAAAGAGGTCAGTAACACTGGTAAGTACTTATCTTCTGCATATGATTTTATTTATTTATTTTTAAAACCTTTCACAGTGCTTTGGCTTTTTATCAATGTGTCTTTCCTGAAAAAAACTACATTGTGTATTTTTTAAAAGGCTGTATTTTAAGCAGAAATGCAATGATTCCTTGAGAATGCTTATATCGAATGTTAGGGCTCCTTCAAGAATGAATGAATTACTTAAAGTATGAATTCTGTAATAGGAAAGGTTTCTCGATAATCTATATATTTCATAGCACTGCTGGAACATTTTGTATGTTGCTTTTTCTGTCTGCCTTGTCCAACAAGCAGTAGCAGATAAGAAATGAATCTATTCTCAAGATGTTATTTACATTATATTCATAGCAAAACAATCTCCTTACCCTTGTGGTAAATGGTGAAGAAAGTAGGTATTTTACTTACTGAAAGCAAATTATTAGACAAAACGCAATGTTACGGTTAATCATTATGAAACATTAAAAATATCTCAGAATATCAGATGCAACAAGGAAGATCAGAGTGAAAAACAAATTCTTAAGGAAACTTGATGTAGATTTTTTTTTCCGTGGGAAAGTTTTTATCAAATCAAAACCAGGGGCTTAATTTTTCAGTATGAAGGGTGAGGGGGAGTGGGGGAGATGAACGTAGTGTCACCTCCTGTTGCTAAGTAACAACATCTCCTGGCCATTTTTATCTGATAAAGGAAGTCCAGTTGACGTTATGCATTATTCATCAGACTTCCAATCAAACAATCAAAATTGTTTGCTTACACTGGGGACATTTAGTAAGATCAAAGAAACCCTCCTTGAAACTACTGGAGCTTACACCACTGCCAGGCAGCTCTTGATACTCTGCAGTAAG